AATGAACCTCAAAACTAGATCATAAAAAAGGTCCTGCCTTTTCCATAGTGTCATCTCGTTCTCTCTGTCTCTATCCCTTCCTCCCTCCCTCCTTCCATCCCTCCTTCCATCTCTCTCTCTCTCTCCCCAGTTGCTGGCTGTGGGGAAGTGCCATGTCATGAGGACCCTCAGGCAGTCCTGTTGGACAGTCCCACATGTGAGGAACTGAGGCCTCCTAACAACAACCTTGTGAATGAGCCATCTTGGTAGCAGGTCCTCCAGCCCTCGTCAGGCCTTCAGATTGACTGCAGCCCCACCCCAGCACTTGACTGTAACCTCAGGAAGACACTGAGCAGAACGCCCAGCTAAACTGCTCCCACTTCCTAACTTACAGAAACTATGGGATATAAAAAATGTCCATTGTTTTAGGCCATTAGATTTTTAGAGTAATTTGTTATACAGCAACAGATAACTAATAATAACAACTAGCAGTAACTAATAACTAATAGACAACTATTAGATAACTGAGCCATTTCCCAATGTCTAAATTCTAAATACATTTCAAGATCCAGATTAAACCCCGCTTCTTCCACAAATCTCTCCTTGCCCACCTGGCTAGAAACAGTGCCTAAAATCATATCCAACTGGATCTCACCTCTCTTGTAGAATTTCATATCTCTATTACAGTAACAAGTATGATTTGCACAATTTTCTCCCTTATTAGAGGCTAAGTCCCCCGGGGACCTGGTTCCACACTTCCCCTCTTATCTCAGCACAGGAGGCAGGTGCATTTAAAAAAAAAATCAGTAAATAGTTGTTGAGAGAAAAAGCAACCCTATTCTAAATGAATTCTTTCCTTGCTTCAAGTCTGTTTGCGCTTATTGTGATTTTGGTAAGGAGTTACGTACAACTAAAGAAGCGAAACACAATATAAGAAGTATTTAATTCCTTCATAACTCTTACAAAAGGAAAGAACTGCTCAGAGAAAAATAATTAGCATAATCAAATTCACCAAGCAGATCAGGTAAGGGGAATTAAAATCACCAAAACTGATACAGAATGCAATTAGAGGCATGGAAATCAATTGAGAGATGACCATGGTCCTAACCAAATAACATAGCCCTCACCGATGTTTTCCCAACTGAAGACAGAAATTTTTCTCTTTCATGTAGATAAAGAGCTGACATCACTCCTCAGGCCACTTCCACACTCCTCGCTGTGGCCTCTGATTGGCTTTCTACGAGATTAGCTAAGAATCAACAGCAACATATGAAGAATGAATAACCATTTTTGATTGTTTGTATCTAAAATCCAGGCTTCCGTTTCCTCTGAGTAATGGAAAATGTGAAAACTGATTATGAACTGAAACGTTCAGAGCATCTGGCTTTTAAAACTGAAAGCACAAAACTCGTTACGCTTTGCCGGAGCTCCCTAGACAGAATTACATAAAGGGAAGGAATCATGCTGCCAGCCCTGGTCTTTGCCACTGGTAAGAGGCTGTGCTGTCAGAGCCCATCTCTCTGCTTCTTTTGACCCATTTCTAACGTGTCTATTATCAACCAACGCTCAGCAGTCAGGGAAGCTCAGATTCAGGAGGCAAGCGCCTTAGCAGGCAAACCATAGAAATCGCTTATGCAACCAGATTTGATCCTTGATCTGAAGCAACCACAATAAACCTATTGACATTTTGTACAGGGATAATTGGTTTTATAGTAAATCAGTACCCATTTACAGATTATTGGATACTGTAAAACAACTAATATGCTATTTACGCGTGGACCATTAACGCATTCTTGACATGTAAGACACCCACTGAGCTGGCTCCCTTTCTCTAAGCAACGGTGACAACAAAAATAGCAGGGAGTTTCTGAGCTGCTGTGGCTCCTAGCTTGCTCTCAAATGTCAAGAAACATTTTTTTTTTCCAGTTCAAAATTCAAATAAGTTTTCGAAAAGTCAGACTCTTTGTTTCCAAACTGTATCCTTAGACTTTTAACTTCTGCTAGTCCCACTGTCTGCTCCCAAAATGGGGGTCAAATTTCAAGAGACTGGAAACCCTTGGAGCAGCAGCAGTCACACTGCCAAGCCTGGGATTACAGAGCAACTCTGCATTATTTTCTACACTAGGTAAATGAAATAAAGGTTTAGGCAATAATTCAGGGCATTTAATCAATGTTAGTCATCAACTTGAGTGATTCAAGACAGTATAATTTTAGTCCTTGGTAGTAAAAGTTTCCAGCCTGGATTTTTTCCAGATAAATAACTCTCTATTTCTCTTTGTCACTATGAACAAAGCTTTAGGAAAAAACTTTACTTTTATTTTTCATTAGATATACCAGCCATTCACATTACCACTCTTAACAGAAGCACGTACTAACCAAACCAAACCAATGGACTCTCATACAGTATTGTTATTAATTTTCCTTATGAATAGTGAAATAGGCTCTCCCCATGTCTGGCCTCTTGGTCAGTTCAATCCACTCCTCCCTGAGCCCTGGGGAATCTTAGCTGACCAAACACAGTCATGGATGGAAGCAATGCTTGTCATAACACAACTTCCCTGAAATGGAAATGAGAAGGGCTAGGGTAACAGGAAAACAACCAAAACAACCACACAACTATTACTGAGAAGGGAGTCAAGACAGAGGAACATGTCGCAGAGGAAATACACGAGAACTCAGTGAGTTAATTCAATGTCCCCCACAGGTGTCTGGAAGACATTATAGGAAAGCAGCTCTGTGTACCTATATATGGAATAAAAGATACTGGCCAGATGAGATTCTGTGAGGCTGGTTTTTCTTTTAATCACTTTTTGGAACAAGATAAACCTAAAATAGTTTCAGCATAAGAGAAAATTCAGTATCACATTGACCTGCTGATTGCCATCCATTTGAGCGAGTCACTATCACAAGGTCACTGTATATCCTGGCTGGCCTGGGATCCTGCCTGCTGTCCTGGGTAACAACAGTGTCACCTTTTGCTCTCAAAAGTGTACCAGTTGAGACAAAGGAATAATTTGGTGACCCTAATTTTTAGTGGGTAATTTTTTTTTACATTTTTTATTGATTCATAATCATTTTACAGTGTTGTGTCAAATTCCAGTGTTCAGCACAATTTTTCAGTCATTCATGGACATATACACACTCATTGTCACATTTTTTCTCTGTGATTTATCATAACATTTTGTGTATATTATTTTTAGAGGTAAAGAATGAGGACATAATAAATACATGTATAACCTTAAAACCATCTCAGCTGGTTCCCTCATTCTGATATTCCTCAGTCTTGGTGGGAGTAGCCGGTATAGTCACTTACTTACGGTTTCTCAGCAACCTTCAGCCTGAACTTTCTAACCCAGCTCACACACACACACACAC